CTTACAATACCTAATAGAATGCAAATGCTCTGTAAATAGTTGTTATACTGTATTGTTTAGGGAATAATGACAAGAAAAAAAGTCTGTACATGTTTAGTACAGGCTGAACCACCATAGGCCTGACTACATAGTACACATCAGCAACAAAGTAAAAAAAAATTTTTTTAATATTTTGGATCCATGGTTGATTGAATCGATGGATGTGGAACCTGTGGATATGGAGGGCTGGCTGTATGTAGAGGTTTTGCTTGTTTTCACTTAATAATATGTATAGTGAGTGTTTCTAAAATGTTAACTATTCCTGAAATAATCACTTTTAATGAATATATAATATAGTTATTTCAATAGAGGAAATGCCAGACCGAGGCCAACAAAATCCACCTAGTTTGATTTGGTGGCTTGGCACGAATAAACCCAGGAGGAGTTATGTTTGGCTTCAATCTGACATTTCATTTATAGAAGTAAGCCCCCAAAGGCCTGTGTGATTTCCTTTTTATTGTACTTGAGGTTGAGCAATTCCTTTGCAATTTTGTACTTGCCAGGGCATTTCCTGCAAAGTTAAAGAGATCTGCAGATAAAGAATAAAATATAAAGGAAATGGTTTTCTTGCTCACATAATCTTTAGAAGATGGGGAAAGGAATAGTTATATTTTTGTGTCATTAAATAATTAATTTCCTAAACTCAAGGTTAAAAGGTCTCTAGCACTCATCTTAAATCCCATTTATTTGGGAAAGATATTTTCCTTGGTGCATGAAAGAATTTCAGATGATCATGAAAACATAAACGTCATTGTAGATCTCCCGAAAGAGATTATATGCTATCTTTTTTAAAGTGTTGAACTAGGGAATTGTAGTGAGGCTCAGAAATCCTTCTTGACAAGCAATCGTTTCTTCTGTGTTACTTACGTTTCACTTGCTGTTCGGAATGTTAGTGATGGACTTCACCCCTGATTCAGCACTTGCCCTCCAGCCCTGTGCCCTTGATCACACAGGTGACTGTGCCAAACACATGCAGTACGAACCACAGCACACGTCCCATTGATAATGGGTCTGCACAGTAGTTCTATTGTTACTGTTACTCTAAGGTCAGACTAGCCAAGCAAAGGGCATCCTTTATTTGATCCAGTCTGGTATTTGTAGGTTGAAAGATGATTCCAGATTTGTTAACCCCCCTTTAAAAAGATTTTTGTCTTACTTGCTTATAGGGGGCTCACTTTGTCCAGTTATGCTGCCAAAGGAGTATCCCTCTGCTGTTCCTTCAGAACATTACTGGTAAGCAAATAGCGTAATCATTTTGGCTGCGTTTATCCTAGAGCTGCATTGTCCAGTATGGCTCACGTATTGGGCGGAGCAGACATAGAGCACNCTAAGGATGAGGTAAGGTGTCTTGGAGCTTCATGGGGGAGGAAGGTCATTTGTAGGACAAGAAGAACATATGTTCAGTAATTAGAAGTTTGCCCTGCCTTATAGATAGGTCATAAAAAGTTATTTCTTGTGATTACTTTTATTATGGTCAAGGCCCCAAATGTAAATTCTTTACGGGAGAGGTAAATGTTTCTTGTGAGCCCACAGGTTCTCAGTTGTCTTCAGCTCAAAATAATCCACATGCCACCGCAGGACATCTTGGGGAGGCCTGTTCTGAACCCCCTCAAAGGTTTGACAATACCAGCTACCTTTTACTGGCAGCCAGAAAGTGTGCTGTAGTTAGCACGTTTCAAGTATTATTATTTAAAACAAAACAAAACAAAACAGATGAGGAAACTGAGGCTTAGAGGATTTTAGGTAACCAGACTATGACTCTGGTTTCTCAGTGCTGGAGCTGAGAGTCAGAGATGGTTCTTTAGCTCAGCATTATTTTCTTAGGTTCCTTTACTACTAGGTCATCATATCTTCGCAACTTTGTCCCATCTTTGCCAAAGTGAGAACTAAGACTCAGAGGGGTTAGATGACTTACTCCAGGGCACACAAATCTTATATGCTGTCTTATGTTGGAGCCTAAGTTTTCTGACTCTAAGCTCTATGCCATGTTTTCTGATCAAATCTCTGACCCTCACCCAATACATCTGAACAGCCACTGAAGCTTTGAGTCTAGCAACCAGCCCACGGAGTCTCTCTGCTTCTCTGGTATGCAACCTGGTGCTCTTGCTTTTATGGTGAAGTATTAAATCAGAGCCCTGAATGACTGCAGGGCATTAACCATGCACATGGAGTGAAATACTAGCGAGAAGATTTTCTGTGTCGGGTGAAATTTTGTGAAACTGACAACTTCACTCTGAATTTGTTTCCTTATAAATAACTGTAATGCAACAATTCTCGTGTAATACAATTTCTCAGGGACATTGTTGTTTTTCCTCTTAGGTCATTGCTAGAATCGTGGATGGAAGCAGATTCAACGAGTTCAAAGCCTTATATGGAGACACATTAGTTACAGGTATAAAGATGAAGAATTGAAAATGTGAACATTTTCTGATGCTTGGAAAATAAGCGATGTCTTGTCTCAAGGCTTTGATGCACTTGACATGACCTTTGTTATTTAGAGCAGTACAAATGTGTGCGTCAGGGTTCAAAGGAGTTGTTTTGTAAATATCATTTGTAGCTGAATGGCTTATGGATCCAGAGAGTTTAAAATGATGATGTTTAGATGCTGTCGTGTAGGCCCTTACCTGTGACTTTGTGGCATTAGCTGTAGAAAAAGTTTCTTATAGCAAAATTCACAGAAATATTTGTAGTTTTTTTTGTTTCTCTGGATAACTATAATTATTTTGAATATTTCAGCACTGTCTCCTTTATTCTTTAGTCTCCAATTTAACTGGCAAGTTTTGTATGATGTTTAAGCTTCCCCAAAGGATGTAGACTGAGTTAAGCCTTCTCACTGGCCTCTGTGTAGGTTTTATGTTGATTGATGCAAACACTAGATTAAGACTACAGGACAGAATACCAAGCCTGAAAAAAACAAATTAAGGATGTTCATAAAAGTTAATTCATTCATCTGAAGTGTTAAGTTTGTAGGCCTTTGAAAAAAAATATTTGAAGCATAGATGCTAGACCCATAATAATCTATTTTGGACAAATGGCAAAACAAATGTGGGCATTTTATTTGGCCTTATGAAAGCTTGAAAATGTAGCCATTAATCTGAAGACAACATATCAGGGTAGAAAAAAGAACTAGCTGTAAAAATCCAAATTGCAAACATACATTGAAGCTTAAGGGTAAGTCACAACACTTTCTGCTGGTCCGATTTAGGAGCAAGGGAAGGGTTCACACTGAGAGTGGAATTTATGGTGTTGTATTTTGGTGTTTAAGCGATTAAGGGCTTTTGTTTGATATACAGACAGGATTTGTCACTAAATAGTTCAGGATGTAACCCTCATTGTGCAGCAGTTTAAAATAAGTCGGAGCTGTTACTGTGGGCTTTCTCAAAGATGGGTGGCTGTCTTTGTCATCTGTTTTTATGTGTGTGTCCTGTATTTGCTAAAAGTCTTGTGGCACCTGTGCCCCTGGAATACTAGGGATATATCCAGCTTCCTCTGTCTCTTCTCTACTGTACTGGATTCAAATAAGGTTGGGGAAAGGGGAGGGTAGTGAGAAGGAGAAGAGGGGCGTAAGAGGGTGAGGGGGAGAATGAGAGGGATTCTCATGAGGAGATATGAGGAGATGGGGTTCATAAGGGGGTAGCAAGTAAGGAGGGAGAACAGATTTTTCTGAGGTTCAGGTGTCCCTGCAGCTCTTAGGGGTTTGCACTTGCCCTATGTTGGCTCTAGTAGTTTCTTGGACAGTTTGCTTTCCTGTTTGGCCCTCAGGAAGCTGGTAAAGCAGCTCCCTTCATGGGCGCCCCTAGTATAGTGCCCTACTCAGCAGGCCCTGTGCCTGGAGATCCCAGGCAGGGCTAAGGATGGGTTGAAAGTCTAAATAGCTGCGAGGGCAGTATACCTTCAGGGGTAGCACCTTACTGCTGAGAGAGATGCGAGGTTCCCAGCTCTTTTGGTGGGTGGGGCAGGACTCCGAGTGGATCGCTAGGCCTTCTGGGAAGTTCACCTCTCTCTGCATTGTGTCTATAAGTGGCAGTGCACTTAGGGTGTGCAGCATAGACTTTAGGCCGGGATTTTTAGGCCTGAAAGATGAAAAAAAATCTAGGTGACCATCAAATCAGTGTTTCATTTTACCACATTAAATAAACACAACAATTGAAAAAATAAATCATGACAAGACTAAAGTAAAAAATAAATCTTTAAAAATTCAGTGTTCTGGCTTATCAATAGGTTGATATTTTCCCTTACCCATTAGTTTTTCTAGTACCTGCTTTGTGTCGGGCATCACACTGTGGGTGTCTTAGCAGCAGCCTGTCCAGCTTGAGTTTCGGTAGCATGCTTTCTTTGAACCCACTTTAGCACAGCTCGTTGATTCTGGGTTCCAAGTATTTGACATCTATATATAGTCATGGTAGGCTTGTTGAAAATCACTCTTGGCAAGGTCTCTTTAGTCAAATTGTCCAGGTTCACAAAATAATTAGCTTCCTGAAATCACCCGAAGTGTCTACCTCACAGAATACAGAATAACAAGTTTTCCTCCTGCTTTTCTTCTCCCTTATTTCCGTGTGTGTGTGTGTGTGTGTGTGTGTGTGTGTGTGTGTGTTTCGAGTGGTAGTAGAGGTAGTGGTGAGATGTAAATGAAGCTTGTGGAAATAAGAAAGAAAAAGATGCAGACACAGAGAAAATGAAAGTGGAGTGATTCCTTCTTCTAAGCCTCAGCTGGATTTCTTACTTTAAAGTTGGTTACCACCAGGCTTGATGATGTTCCTGCTTTTTTTATAAATGCCTTTGCTTGAGTGTATCCTCTGTATTTCAAAGGCCTGTCATTACCACAGGCATTTTCAGGCAAGCAAGTCACCTGAAACTGGCCAGCAGCTCTGAACGTTGAGCTTTAAAAGGCTCTGCATCTTTGATTTGCTCTATTTCAGAATATCCTTCGTGTCTGGTCCATACATGTTACATGAATGAATGGATGACACACTAACCCGATAATCCAACCAAACCAACCTGCCAGACGAGTGGGTAACTTTACATGTACACACCCTTTTCAAGAAAGCAGAAAACCCAGACTCTAGTACCTTAGAAATAAAGTGTGATGTGAGCTGTACCATAGACAAAATCTCTGCATTTTAAACTTGGATTTGAAATTACAGAATGTTAAACATATCTGTTTGCTGTGAATTAAAAGTCCTATGAAATACATAAATCTTTTTTTTTATTTTCTTTTGAGGATTTGCTAGAATATTTGGATACCCAGTTGGTATCATTGGAAATAATGGAGTTCTCTTTTCTGAATCTGCAAAAAAGGTAAGTACTGCTAAACATACTTCAAGATTTTCTGTTTTAATTGAAACATAATGAACTTTCAAGATCAAGTAATGCATGAAAATGTGTTGCATAAAAGCTTTAAAATATTTAACCAGATGCCTTAGCAAACAGAACACTGTATGTATGTGCACATGAGCATGTATGTGTGTGTGTATGCGTGTTAGTGTTTGAAACAGTTTTTGTGGAGGTTTAGATGAACAGTGATGAACCATCTTGAGCACTATTAAAAGTTAAATTTTCATGGGGAAAGTTCTAAGATACTTGAATTATAACCTCTGTGGGTCATGCGTGCATATTCTAAGAATGCAGGAATACTTGTCTTGAAAGTGTTTCACTTTCTAGTGCTTCATGTACTTGAAGGATTCAAAGATACTTTCCAGGTGGTTCTGAGACATGATTTGTTTATTCTATCCTGTCATCACTTTAATTTGACACTATTTTCACTTTTTGCAAATGGGAAGATAGTGGGTCTTGTTACTGAAGCTCTGGTTTTAAATGAGGGAATTCATGAATATCTTTTGGCATAGTATTCTGTTTCATACATCATTGTCTCAGATGTACCGAAACTTGGATAAATGTAATTCATATACTTATTTGGTGAAGTGTTTTCTTCAGAAAAAAAATGTCTAGTCTTGTGTTTCCTCTTCAAATGATAGAATAAATAACAAGGTTAAGCGTCTCTTATTGATGCAGGTAATAGGCAGTTAAGCTCTTTCAGACTCTA